CATCTCAGCCACCCTGCACCTAACCTCCCTTTACCTAACTTCAAATGAATAGTATTTTATGGGGAGGGGAGGAAAGTATTGTTTGTGCATCAACCCAACCGCCCTGGACCTAACTTCTGATACATGGATATCGGTTCAATATTGCATCATATTCTTAGCTAGTCATTTTTTTCCACATCAATACAACTATCCCCAACCTAACCTCTATTAAATTACATAAAAATAAGGTGGGTTAGCTAAAATTTGGTCATCTTAAATAAAGTTTAACTTTGGATTTGCTACGTCAGGTTACGTGAGGTTGTGTAGGGTAGGATATATAATATCTTAGAGGTAATGAACTAGCTTGTTCATAAATAGTGCAAATTTACCTATTTGGGGTTCAAGCTATAGATAACTCATGTAAATTATGGACAGAGGTGACATAAGCATCCCTTATCTTCACATACAGCCTATAATTAATTAGTTTAGCTTTGCTAGGTTGAATTTGTAAGGATTAAGTAAAAAAAATGCTAGATTTAGATAAATTTAGATTCTAATTGGTAAGTTGGCTATAGTAAATTTGCTTAAATTATCATAGAAATTTCTAACTTCCCCTAACCCCACCTGCCCTAATATAACTAATGGTAGAACCAATAAGTCTGTTGGAGGGTTTGCATAAATAAATAGGGTGACATGATTGCAGACGATGTAACAAAGGGGTTATTAATAAGGTATAAAAAAACAATGGATATATGCTAGATGGGGTATTTTGGTACTATTAATGATGAAACATTAATGGAAAATGTATGTGTGTTTTCATTTTGAGCTCATAGGATGTCAGACGTACCGTTCATTTATGTGAAATTCTGACTTCTGGGAGTTGGTTAAACTCAGCATATTATAAATGACGTCCTAAACATACATAGAAAAATATCATGCAAATTATGTATTGTTTGACCAAGTTAGCTGGGATTGTATTTGTACATAAAGCACCATTATTATACTTGTGCAAGTTGTGTATTAGTTTGTGCTGGTTATGTATTTTGCATAAGTTGTATGATGATTGCAAGTATGTATTAATTATATTCCCACAAGTTGTGTATGGTTTGTGCGAGTTTTGTATTAATTGTTCATGTTTTGTATGTGTATTTGCACAATTGAGTAGTTGTGTTCATATTTGGGCTAGTTGTGCATTGATTATATTTTTGTGCAAGTTGTGTATTAATTGTGTATATGTTGTAACTGTATTTGTGGGAATTGTGTATTTTTGCTGGTTGTGTATTTACATATTTGACCTAGTCATATATTGTGTGTATTAGTGCTGGTTACGTATTTATGAAGGTGGTGTAATAATTATGAAAAATGTGTAATAATTGTGGAAGTTGTGTATTAATTGCGCATGTTGTGAAATTGGATATGGACGAATTGTATATTTACACCTCTGTGTATTGATTAGCATTGTGCAAATAGTGTAATTATATAGCAAGTTTGCTTGTATTAATTGCGCAGAGATGTATACTAATTACACAATTTGTGTACTAAGTGTCCATGTTTTACCATTGTTCTGTGCGAATAGTGTATATATTGACAGTCTCCGTGGTGTAGTGGTAAGACACTCGCCTGGCGATCCGCGAGCGCTATGTCATGGGTTCGTATCCTAGCCGGGGAGGATTTACTGGGCGCAAATCCTTAACTGTAGCCTCAGTTTAACGCAACAGTAAAATGTGTACTTGGATGAAAAAACGATTCTTCGCGGCAGGGGATCGTTTTCCAGGGACCTGCCCGAAACGCTATGCGTACTAGTGGCTCTACAAGAATGTAACTACTCTTGTATATATCTAAAAAAAAAAAAAATATGCAAGTTGTGTTTTTAATATGCTGAATTGGAACTTGGGCAACTGTGTTTTTTTAGTGCGAATTATGTATTTGTGTAAGTTCTGTACATGTTATCTGAAAAAAAGATCTTCATGTGCAAGTGTGAAAGTGTATTTGGTTTATGAGAACGTGTGGATATTTTGGGAAAATTATGTTTATGAAATTGTGTAATTTAAGTAAAAGCGCTTTTTAATTGTATGAGCATATATGAAATTTGATATAGTTAAGCAAATACCATACTTTGTGTAAATGTTATGCTCTGAGTATATATGCAATATATGTGTAAATGGTATGTTTTGTGTGCAAACACAACTAGGTGAATACAGCTGACCTGCTATGCTGCTAGATGTACAATTCAGATGAATTACGGTACGACATTTGGGTAGATATATTAGTTTTGAACTTATCACTGCATAATGAATGAATAAAGTTGTGGATGACTAAAATGTATATTCTTAAACCTGTGTTGAAGTTTGATTATATTTGTGATGGATAATATAGCCATTTTTGCATAATAACATTAAATATACTACATAACTAAGTAGGCTGCCAAGGCCTCATTGCGCATCTTATGAAGTCACTCATAGTTAAAAAAGTCAGGTCGCTGTGGGCCTTGTCACACATCTGTTAATGGGAGGCAATATTTAATGCTTTTACTGGGAAAGCTTTCGTGATGTCGCTAAAACAACGGATATTATTATTGCAGAATGCATTTGTTTATTATAGGTTAGGTTTGGATAGTTTAGTAAGGTCGATGAATTGAATATCTGAAAAATAAGAGCAATGATACAATTAGCTAAGATATGAGTGGATACAAGGCATCATAACGTAGCCGGTGATGACACTTACAGCGAACAGTTGAGCTATTGAGAGATTAAGGATATGTGCTAATGAGAGGCTGGGTCCCTTCTTGGAACTGCTTGTGTGACGTTGGCTAGAAGCAATGTAACATATTGGTGGATCAGACAGCATTGGAAATGATGATGTCATGAGAACATCAGAGTGAAGGTAACTGCAGAAGAACCGCTTTAAACATGCAAAACAGCTTCTACTTAATGTAGTTCATATATATGTACACCGAAATTAGTATTTTGTTTGGATATATGCAGGTTTTTTTTTTTAGCGATTATGAGACGTACACAGCAGTAGCAGTGAGGGAGGAATTAAAGGAAAATGCCTGAGTGATGGTGTTTTCTTTTTTTGTAAATTATATAATAATATATATTTGCATCCACTTGGAGACTTCAATAGGGGATTCAGTAGTGTTCCTGTGCCCCAAGCTTTTACGTTATTTTAACGCTGACTTCCAAAATGATGAAAACTACAGTGAAACTCGATAAACAGACCCGGACGGGGGCGAAATCTCAACGAGGTAACGAAAAATGAGGGAAACTAGAGTGTAATTTCGAAAAAAAGCAAAACATTGCACTCTCTAGTCTTCAATTCCACTACTATCGCAGTGTGCTACCATCTTTAGGTTATATTTAGATGATTTCGGGGCTTTTTTTAGTGTCCCCGCGGTCCGGTCCTCGACCAGGCCTCCACCCCCAGGAAGCAGCCCGTGACAGCTGACTAACACCCAGGTACCTATTTTACTGCTAGGTAACAGGGGCATAGGGTGAAGAAACTCTGCCTATTGTTTCTCGCCGGCGCCTGGGATCGAACCCAGGACCACAGGATCACAAGCCCAGCGTGCTGTCCGCTCGGCCGACCGGCTCCCACAGACGCTGTATGTTATCGTTAATATTGACACTGTATTCTACCAATTCCACGGATGCTGTATGTTATCATTACCACGAATGCTTTATGCTACCAATACCACTTATGCTGTGTGGAATCATTACCACTGATGCTGCGTGTTACCAATACCACGGACGCTGTATGGTACTAAAACAACGTATGCTGTATGCTATCAATACCACGGACGATGTATGCTACTAATAAGATGGACCCTGAAAGCTACCAATACCACGGACGCAGTACGCTACGAATACTACGGACGCTGTGTGCTAACAATACCACGGACGCTGTGAGCAACCAATACCACGGACGCTGTGTGCTAACAATACCACGGACGCTGTATGCAATCAATGCCATAAACACTGTGTACTATCACTACTAAGGACGCTGTATACTTCCAATATCACGGGCGTTGTATGCTACCAATTCCACGGACGCAGTGTGCTATCAATGCAACGGACGCTGTATACTGTCAATACCACGGACGCTGCATGCTACCGATACCACGGACACACTATGTTATTACCACGGACACACTATGTTATTACCACGGACGCTGTATGCTGCATACGATCCAAAAGTGACGTTATTTTTAAGAGGACGGGTGGGTATGCTACCACTACCACGGACGCTGTATGCTACCAATACCACGGACGCTGTATGCTACCAATACCACGGACGCTGTATGCTACCAATACAACGGACGCTGTATGCTACCAATAAAATGGACGCTGTATGCTACCAATAAAATGGACGCTGTATGCTACCAATAAAATGGACGCTGTAGGTCACAATCCCCAGAAATAAACCTGTGAAGCTGAACATTTATGAGTTCTAACATATAGACACCAGGACACAGCTCAACTAACATCAGGGGCATACTAGAGTACACTAGGCATACTAGATACACTATGCACTAGGCACACTATGCAGTACCAATGCTAAATACATTGTGCATGCTAGAGACCTTGTGCACTATGCATGCTAAAGACCTTGTGCACTATGCATGCTAGAGACCTTGTGCACTATGCATGCTAGAGACCTTGTGCACTATGCATGCTAGAGACCTTGTGCACTATGCATGCTAGAGACCTTGTGCACTATGCATACTAGAGACCTTGTGCACTATGCATGATAGAAACCTTGAGCACTATGCATGCTAGTGACCAGCTACATTATGAATGTTAGACAACTTGTGCTGTCAGTGTCAGAGACCCCGTGGTTGGCAGTTCTAGAACTTCTAGTCCACTGAACACAACAACAAATATACTATGAGCACCCAGGGGCAATGCACATGTTATAATCACTGAGCACTACCACCTCCTGGGACAAGTTCCCCCCCCCCCTCCCCTGTTAGACGTGGCCGGTGACCGGTCCCGGGGTGCACACGCGGGAAGCTGGAGCACCTTGACGCGGGGAGTCGGAGGAGCCCAGATGCGTCCCGACACTACCGCTCACAAGAGAAGACTGGCGCCCACCGCTCCGATGGCCCCTCTTCTGCTACCGTCCCCCGCGCACGCTGCCCCCCCCCCCCCCCTCTCTCTCTCGCTTTCTCTTTCTCACTGTCTCGCGATCACATATAGAGAGATAGCGATAGCGATCAACTATAGCTATCGCTATCGCAAGAACAATAGCGATCGCTCTTGCTCAACAGAAACTCGAATGCAATCCTTTGCCTATGTCTAACATTTGTGAAGCTCCACCTCGGCAACGCCATAGACTTCTGGACCCGGGTTCACAAAGCAGTTATGCAAGTACTTACGAACGTGTACATCTTTCCTCAATCTTTGACGGTTTTGGTTACATTTATTAAACAGTTTACAGGCATGACAACTTCCCAATCAACTGTTGTTAGTGTTATAAACAGCCTCCTGGTGCTTCGGAACTCATTAACTGTTTAGTAATTGTAAATAAAGCCGCCAAAGATTGAGAAAAGATGGATTGGTTCGTAAGTGCTTGCGTAACTGCTTCGTGAATCTGGCCCCTAGTCGCCGCACTACTCCCTTGGCAGATAGTACCTTTTGATGTTCTGACGCATGCATACCCCACCAAGAAATTAATCAAAAACAACCCTCATGCTCAGCTTGCTGCTGAAAGTACAATTTAACACATACTCAATATACGAACTAAAAACAACATCGCACAGACCATATACACTGACGGATAACTCAATATAGCTACAGGGAGGGCAGGAAGTGCTGTTATTGCTCATGGCATCACAAATGAAAAGGATTTAAGAATTACAAACTGGTCATTCACCTTGTAATTTGAACTGGTAGCACTCAAAATTACTGACTACACTAAAGTAGACTGCTTCATTATTTCTAACCCCTGTCTTTACTACTAGCATTAAATAGTTTACGATCAAGTAATAACGTGCTTGTCTCCGAAGCCAGGCATAGATATATACGCGTACTTATGCGGGTGTAAATAAAAAAAAATGTTGTGGATTCCCTGTAAGATTGTGCTGTAGGAACAAGATAAGTTGACGTCCTTGAAAAGACTGCAGTAAATAAAGACAATGTTGAACAGAATCTTGAGTATCAAAAAAGGTCCCTTAAAAATATCATTAGAAGAGAACTCTTGGATGAATTTGAAGAAAGTAGAACAGTGGAAACCGGAACATGCAGTTCCATTGCTCATCACAACGAAATGTGTCAAACAAAACACGAGTATGATGCAAGTAACAAATTCAGCAGACTAACAGACGTTGTCACAGCTCGAATAAGACTTTGCTACAAGTATCCTTGACAGTTCGGCTTGTGTAAGAGTCTGGATGAAGTAATGTGTGAGACAGGAACACACACTAGAACATCATATCGTATAAAAATTTAGCAATTTAGAGATAAGGGGTTTGAACAATTGATTTACCTATATATCTGTATCTATGTCTCAATCTTCCTCCGTCTATCTCTCTCACTGTCTGTCTAACTATGCCTATCTCCCTCCACCTATCTACCCGTCCATCTGTCTATCTCTTTATATCTCTCTATCCTTATGTATCCATCTCTAACTCTCTGTCTATCGTTATTTATCTATCTATCTCCCTCTATCGAATCTATTCTCAAGGGAATTAATTTGTGAGCATTTTGACACTAAATTTGAAGTTGTAACTAAAAGATAACAAATAACTTTGAAAATATGATATGATTGTAAACATTTTAAGTATAGCTGAGTGGGAAAAAGACACGAGGCCAGACATCCAGAGTATTAAGAATTTCACGTTAATCACAAGCCATATTTTTAACCCTTCCTCCGAATAGACATTACGTTTTAATACTGAATGTAATAAGTACATTACTGATTGTCTGCATAGTACTTAAAAACACGTAATTGTGCTGTTACATTTACCTCCCCATATATTCTCCTAATTTTATGTTAATACACTCAAAATTTTTAAGTTTAAGTTTTCGTGTTCAGATCCATATGCACAAGTTTTAATTATAAAGAATTTCTTTTTCAATTTTATTAAACAATATAGTCTCTAGTTATACAAATATAGTCTCTATAATAACAAAATTTGAAAATATCCTGAGTTAGTCTATAATTTATTAAGAGTCTTTAGTTTTGTTTTATTCGTTTTATAAAATTGTAACATCAATATAGCTATAGGTTAAGTACTACTTGTAATTAAGAAGCAATAAATGCTATTTATATGCTTGTCCTCCTACACTCCCAATGTTAGGTTAGGTCGTGGATATCTATACAGCTTTTCAGGTAAACTCTAATATTCATAATATTTTGGTGCGATGCTGGCGATTAAGTGTATTTATGTACTATGCCGATAGTCAGGATTGTACTTATTACGTTCAGTATTAAAACGTGACTATTCGGAGGATGGGCTGCATATTTTACACTTAATTTTAAGCTAAGGGTAAAATTAACTTAATGAAAAATGATCCTGGGGTGTTTATAATAATATTTCTTAAAACATTTAAAGTAGGCTTACTCCAACAAGCCAATGTCCGTTCCATACGCCCTGCAAATTTTGGTGAGACTAGCCCTTAGCATCTAGCCTCGAATTTTGGACAAATAGACATGCAGATACACACAGGAAGGAAGACAGACAGGCAACATTTCTAACAGTATAGATTATGAAAGGGGTGATCCTATTTGTACACAGAAGTGAACCTGTTAGTTTGTATTCTTAATTTTATAATATTTAACCAAAATTAACTTACTTTCAGGACGATTTTCTTCACTGCAGTTTGGTAATTAGGAAAGTCTCAAGGGGCACAAGACTCGACCACCCACAGAGGTTAATTTTCCCCCCAATATTAATATCATTGCTGGAGTGTATTAGTTTAATTAGTTTATAACGGAGCCCACACTGGTGCTCTTGGCAGCGA